GTGTGTGTGTGTGTGTGTGTGTGTGTGTTGACCTAAAGGTGGATCTAATGCAACAGAGAGAGAAAAAGAGAGAAAAGAGAGTCTGTGGACACAGACAAAGACTTTAACACAAAAATATAGTTATAAAAGAAAATAAAACAATCAGTAATTTACATAGATCATGTGATAGCATACTATGCTAAAGTGAATAATTATAGCCAGATTCTGACACTGCCCAGAGTCCTGTTCAATAGACATAACAATGGTTTGTAATGGAAGACACAACCCTGAGCTATTTATTTAGTTTTTGAGCAAAGTTTTTACCATTAAATTATGCAAAACATTTCAGAAACATTTCAGAAACCGTATCAAATATGATGCATTTGGCATTATAGGGTTAAGCTTCTTTCTGCTTTATGTTTCGCTAACGTTGGACATTTTCTGTGTGCCAATATAAGCCAAACACACAAACATACTAGAGGACTGTTAGTACTTTCTGCTCTCTGTTTGCCACAGATCCCACCTTCATCAGCTCCAGCTTCATCCCACAAGAGGAGAAAATCTACTTTTTCTTCAGCGAAGTGGGCAGAGAATACGACTTCCTCGACAAATTCATCGTCTCCCGCGTTTCCCAGATCTGCATGGTGAGTGTGCGGAAAGAAAAGCTTTAACCCTAACCCTGACCCTAACCCTAACCTTAACCCTAACCCTAACCCTAACCCTAACCCTAAACCTAACCCTAAACCTAACCCTGACCTTAACCCTGACCTTAACCCTGACCCTAACCCTGACCCTAACCCTAAACCTTCATAATTGTGATAAAATAAATATTTTTTGGTTAAACTTGTTTAGACTTATTGTACAAACCTATTTAACATCCACTATTCTAACATAATATTATGTATAGAGTTTAATTCAGTGTTTGCAAGATTAATTTCACTATTTTTAAATTAATGTCTATATTACCATGAAGCAATTAGGATTTTCTTGCCTGGGATCTTCCTATTTGTGAACTAATCAAAATGGCCGACTTGGATGTGGGTGGAGTCGGATATCCAGCCCCAGTGGGGCTTTTTAACCAGAAGTTGGAGGATCCCTCCTCTCTTTCTCCCCAGAGGCCGGTGGACTGGACGGGTTCATGTTTCCAGCTGTGTTTCCCGCTCTTTTATCCAGCTGTTTATCCAACTATTTATCCAGCTGTTTATCCAACTATTTATCCAGCTGTTTATCCAACTATTTATCCAGATGTTTCCAGCTGTTTCCAGATGTTTCCAGCTGTTTTATCCAGCTGTTTTATCCACCTGTTTTTCCAGCTGTTTCAAGCTGTTTAATTGGTTTCCAGATGTATCCAGATATGTTTCCAGCTGTGATTCCAGATGTGTTTCCCGCTCTTTTATCCAGATGTTTCCAGCTGTTTTATCCAGAATTTTCCAGCTGTTTATCCAACTATTTATCCAGCTGTTTTATCCAGCTGTTTCAAGCTGTTTAATTGGTTTCCAGATGTATCCAGATATGTTTCCAGCTGTGATTCCAGATGTGTTTCCAGATGTTTTATCCAGATGTTTTAGCCAGCTGTTTTATCCAGCTGTTTATCCAGATGTTTCCAGCTGTTTCCAGCTCTTTTATCCAGCTGTTTCCAGCTCTTTTATCCAGATGTTTCCAGCTGTTTCCAGCTCTTTTATCCAGATGTTTCCAGCTCTTTTATCCAGCTGTTTCCAGCTGTTATCCAGCTGTTTCCAGCTGTTTCCAGCTGTTTTATCCACCTGTTTCCAGCTGTTTTATCCAGCTGTTTATCCAGCTGTTTAATGTGTTTCCAGCTGTTTTCCAGCTGTATTCCAGCTGTTTTATCCAGATATTTCCAGCTGTTTATCCAGCTGTTATCCAGCTGTTATCCACCTGTTTCCAGCTGTTATCCAGCTGTTATCCAGATGTTTTATCCAGATATTTCCAGATATTTCCACCTGTTTTATCCACCTGTTTATCCACCTGTTTCCAGCTGTTTATCCAGCTCTTTTATCCAGATGTGTTTCCAGCTGTTTTCCAGCTGTTTTATCCAGCTGTGTTTCCAGATTTGTTTCCAGCTGTTTATGCAGCTGTTTATCCAGATATTTCCAGCTTGTTTATCCAGCTGTTATCCAGCTGTATTCCAGCTGTTTTACCCCCCCCCCCCCCCTGCTCCCAGAGTGATGTGGGGGGCCAGCGGACCCTTCAGAGGCGCTGGACCACCTTCGCCAAAGCGCAGCTGCGCTGCCAAACCGGCAGCCAGCTGCCCTACAACGTGCTGCAGGACATGGACCTGTTGCCCCCGGCAACCGGGGCTCCGCCCGACGACACGCTGTTCTACGGCATCTTCACCTCCCAGTGGTCAGTCAATAAGAGCAAAATACTACCACATGGTTGAGGAAACTTTATGCAGAAAAGACCTCAAAGAATAGAAGAGTTAGAACAATTATAGTTTGAGGAAAGGAAAAAAATAATTATATGTATATTTTGAAATATTTATATAAATAATAATATATCATTTCCCTCTGGGAGTATTAAAAGTATTTCTGATTCTGATTTTAATATATATATATATATATATATATATATATATATATATATATATATACACTCTACTTGTCTAAACAGATACTCAAACAAAAACTCCTGCTAGCCATTAAGACCAAGAATTTTTGTTTTGTGTAGAGGTTCAACAACAAAAAAACACAAAAGTTTAAAAAAAGGAAAAAAGAACATGTTTACTGTTGTGTAATATTTACCTAGCTCAATTTTTGTAGATTTTGAATAGTAGAGAGTAGAGTATATATAATGCATTAATCCATATATGTATGTGTGTGTGTGTATATATATATATATATACAATATTTATTCCATTTAAATCCAGCATTTTGTTTTGTTTCAACATAGCCGTTAACAGACAGTAAAGTGTATAACATGTGTATAACAAGTATAACAGCGAGGGAGGTGTAGAAAATATACATTTAATTTCTTTTTCATATTGTAATAATGTAATATTTAATGTCTTGGAGTAAAGAGTTGGAGAACATCAGGCCTGAGAGGAAAGCTTGATACGTAATGATCACACTGTTCTGATGGTGTCTTTTTTTATGGTTTCCTTCAGGATTTGAAACAAATACGTTGTTGTGTGTGTGTTTTTTGACGGTTTGCTTGTTTTCTGTTCTCCGATAACCAGGTCTGTGAACTCCGGCCGGTCGGCGGTCTGTTCCTTTCGTCTGAGTGAGATAAAAGCCGCCTTCAGTGGGAACTACAAAGTCCTGAACCGGGACACTTTACGGTGGAGCTC